GTGTTGAAGAAAATATATGAAGGGTGGTGGTAAATATCGGTTATGGAAAATAGATTAATATTTTTTGTTGTGAGTGTGTTAGATAGAGGATAAGAGTTATGTGTGTATGTTTGTATATCATTAATATAATAAAATAGATTTTTTTTTTTATTCTGTTTTTTGTTAAGATGTGTTTGTTATTCGTGGTGTTTTTGGTCGGTGTGTGTGTTTTCTCTGTATAACATGTTTCGGTGTGTATAATGTGAAATGTTTACATTATTGGTGTATTAAAGAGATGTCTACAATATGTGTGTATGTGGTGAACTGTCTTATGTGTGTGTACTGAAATGTCTACATGTATGTATGTACATGTTGATATATCTACATGTGTGTGTATGCGTAGCCAGTAGCCAGGAGTTACATATAATGAGGCATGGACATAATCTTCTTCTCCTTTCGTAAATATAACATGAAGTACTTTCGAATCACTCGATGAGATCTGTTCGGGTAATTGGTATATATTTTTAGGCCGAACTGACCGGTATTGCGATCGTATCAAAACCCTATAGGCAGGGTGCCTCATTATATCCCCGTTTGGCTGACGACCTTTCTACCTGTGATGCTATTTCCTCCTCCTTCTGTTTCTTCTTCTTCTTCTTCTTCTTCTTCTTCTTCTTCTTCTTCTTCTTCTTCTTCTTCTTTTTTCTTTTTCTTCTTCTTCTTCTTCTTCTTCTTCTCTTCTTCTTCTTCTTCTTCTTCTTCTTCTTCTCTCTTCTTCTTCTTCTTCTTCTCTTTCTCTTCTTTTTTTTTTCTCTCTTCTCTCTTTCTTCTCTTCCTCTCCTCTCCTCTCCTCTTCCTCTCCTCTTCCTCTTCCTCTTCCTCCTACTCCGCCTCCTCCTCCTTCTCCTCTCTTCCCTCCTCCTCTTCCTCCTCAATTTTCTCCCTTCCCACCTCCTCCCTCCTTCACTTCTTCTTCCTCCTATTCCTTGTCCATTTCTTCTCCTTTCTTCTTCCTCCTCCTCCTCCCCCCTCCATTTCTCCCTTCGCCCACTTCCTCTCTTCCTTGTCCATTTCCAACTCTTATCCTCCTGCTCCTCCTCCTTCCTCCTCCTCCTCCTCCTCCTCCTCCTCCTCCTCCCCATTCTCCCTTCGCCCACTCCATCAGCCTCTTCCTTAATTACTTCCCAACAATTACATCTCTTGTATGGCTCCTCGTCAAACCCCCCCTTTCCCCCTGTTTTCCCCTTCTTTCCTATCCCCACCCGCTCCCCCACCCACCCTACCCCTCATCACTTACTTCATCTTCTTCCCCTTCTGTTCCTCCTATAGGCTCACATCCTCTTCACTCACCCTCCCCATCATCCCCCTCCCATCCCTCTCCCTCCTACCCTATCCTCACTCTTCTCCCCTTCCTCCCCTGCGTTATCACTTCCTTTTTTTCTCAACTCCCCAAACTCCCCTTCCTTCCTTTATATTAAACACCTTTCCCTCTTCTGATTCCTCTCCCTCTCCTTCCTTCCCTCTCTTTCCTCTTAACATCCTCTTCTCCCTTCCTTCCCTCATTCCTCCTGCTCCTTCTCCCTTCTTCTTAATTCTTAATTCTTTCTCTCTTGCCCTCCTTCTCCATTCCCTCCCCCATGCTTAACTCCCTCCTTTCTCCTCCTCCCGATTCCTCTCCCTTACTTCATTCCCCTTTCCTCTCCCTCTTTCCCCCTTACACTCAAACCTCCCCCCCCTCCTCCCTTTTCTTTCCCTCTTCCTCCCCCTCTTCCCTCTCGCCTCCCTTCTTCCCTCTCCTCCCCCTTCTCTCCCCCTCCATCTCCTCCCTTCTCTCCCCCTTTTCCTCCTCCTTCTCCCCTTTCTCCCATCTCTCCCCCTCCCCCTCCCTTCTCTCCCCTTTCCTCCTCCATCTCCTTCCCCTCCTCCTTCCCCAAGCGAGTCCCAGCTGACCAATCACATCCCGAGAATTCCCCACTGATTGCCCTGCTCTGCCTGTCAGCGATGTCACTCTCCTGATCCTCGTCCTCCCCTCCTCTACCCCTACAACCCCCCACCCCACCAATCATCTACTCTCCCTCCCCACTCCGATCATCCTCTGCTTCCCCTCCCCCCCCCCTCCATCCCTATCATTTTCTACGCATCCTCTGCTAAATTTCCTCCACTTTTTTTTCCTTCTTTTCTTCTTCTTCTCCTCCTCCTTCTTCTTCTTCCTCTAGCTCCTCCTGCTCCTCTCCTCCTCCTCTTCCTCTTCCTTTCCTTCTCTCTTCTTCCTCTCTCCTCTTCCTTCTCCCTCTCCACCACTTCCTCCTCCTTGTCCTCCTCCACATCTCTACCTCCTCCTCCTCCTTTTCCCCCTCATCCTCATCCTCCTCCTCCTCCTTCTCCCCCTCATCATCTTCCTCCTCCTCCTCCTCCTCCTCCTTTTCTCTTCCCTTTCCCTTCTTCCTTTCCCTCACCCCTCCCCCCTTAAGTATCAAATCTCACCTTCTTTCCCTCCCCCCCTCCCCTCTTCCCGCAGGTG